GTGAATGGAGACAAATGGTAATTGGGACCTGACGATCTGTTGGAGTGTGAGCAGGGTAATAGTATTTAGTGAAGGGATTCAGGGAAACCAGTTATTTTTATATAGCAAGACTTGAGTCCTGGAAATGAGAAGTACAATGCCTGCACTCTAAACGAGGGGTTCGGGATATTGGCAGTTTGGTGGGATATGTTGTGTATCTTTATACGTATATGCTTCTAAGCTGTTGTGTTCTGAGCACCTCTGCAAAAACAGTGATTATGTGGGAGTGAAGTGAAAGTGTTGAATGATGATGAAAGTATTTTCTTTTTTGGGGATTTTCTTTCTTTTGGGTCACCCTGCCTCGGTGGGAGACGGCCAACTTGTTAAAAAAAAAATAATCATAATAACAGACGCTTCAAAAGGCCGTCACTAGATGGTAGTGTTTACAACAACAAAGAGGGAGTGATTGTGGCCTCCTCCACCTGTTATACATAATGGCATATTTTATTCTTTGTAGAGTATATATCAGGTTTCTGTGTTATTTATATTGTTTTATTTCACATTAGATGAACTTTTTTTTTTTTTTACTTTTTTTTTTTATTATCACACTGGCCGATTCCCACCAAGGCAGGGTGGCCCGAAAAAGAAAAACTTTCACCATCATTCACTCCATCACTGTCTTGCCAGAAGGGTGCTTTACACTACAGTTTTTAAACTGCAATATTAACACCCCTCCTTCAGAGTGCAGGCACTGTACTTCCCATCTCCAGGACTCAAGTCCGGCCTGCCGGTTTCCCTGAACCCCTTCATAAATGTTACTTTGCTCACACTCCAACAGCACGTCAAGTATTAAAAACCATTCGTCTCCATTCACTCCTATCAAACACGCTCATGCACGCCTGCTGGAAGTCCAAGCCCCTCGCATACAAAACCTCCTTCACCCCCTCCCTCCAACCTTTCCTAGGCCGACCCCTACCCCCCCTTTCCCTTTCCCACTACAGACTGATACACTCTTGAAGTCATTCTGTTTCGCTCCATTCTCTCTACATGTCCGAACCACCTCAACAACCCTTCCTCACCCCTTTTGGACAACAGTTTTGGTAATCCCGCATCTCCTCCTAACTTCCAAACTACGAATTCTCTGCATTATATTCACACCACACATTGCCCTCAGACATGACATCTCCACTGCCTCCAGCCTTCTCCTCGCTGCAACATTCATCACCCATGCTTCACACCCATATAAGAGTGTTGGTAAAACTATACTCTCATACATTCCCTCTTTGCCTCCAAGGACAAAGTTCTTTGTTCCACAGACTCCTAAGTGCACCACTCCCCCCTTTTCCCTCATCAATTCTATGATTCACCTCATCCTTCATAGACCCATCCGCTGACACGTCCACTCCCAAATATCTGAATACATTCACCTCCTCCATACTCTCTCCCTCCAATCTGATATCCAATCTTTCATCACCTAATATTTTTGTTATCCTCATAACCTTACTCTTTCCTGTATTCACTTTTAATTTTCTTCTTTTGCACACCCTACCAAATTCATCCACCAATCTCTGCAACTTCTCTTCAGAATCTCCCAAGAGCACAGTGTCATCAGCAAAGAGCAACTGTGACAACTCCCACTTTATGTGTGATTCTTTATCTTTTAACTCCACACCTCTTGTCAAGACCCTCGCATTTACTTCTCTTACAACCCCATCTATAAATATATTAAACAACCACGGTGACATCACACATCCTTGTCTAAGGCCTACTTTTACTGGGAAATAATCTCCCTCTTTCCTATGTGCTCTAACTTGAGCCTCACTATCCTCGTAAAAACTCTTCACTGCTTTCAGTAACCTACCTCCTACACCATACACCTGCAACATCTGCCACATTGCCCCCCTATCCACCCTGTCATACGCCTTTTCCAAAATCCATAAATGCCACAAAGACCTCTTTAGCCTTATCTAAATACTGTTCACTTATATGTTTCACTGTAAACACCTGGTCCACACACCCCCTACCTTTCCTAAAGCCTCCTTGTTCATCTGCTATCCTATTCTAAGTCTTACTTTTAATTCTTTCAATAATAACTCTACCATACACTTTACCAGGTATACTCAACAGACTTATCCCCCTATAATTTTTGCACTCTCTTTTGTCCCCTTTGCCTTTATACAAAGGAACTATGCATGCTCTCTGCCAATCCCTAGGTACCTTACCCTCTTCCATACATTTATTAAATAATTGCACCAACCACTCCAAAACTATATCCCCACCTGCTTTTAACATTTCTATCTTTATCCCATCAATCCCAGCTGCCTTACCCCCTTTCATTTTACCTACTGCCTCACGAACTTCCCCCACACTCACAACTGGTTCTTCCTCACTCCTACAAGATGTTATTCCTCCTTGCCCTATACACGAAATCACAGCTTCCCTATCTTCATCAACATTTAACAATTCCTCAAAATATTCCCTCCATCTTCCCAATACCTCTAACTCTCCATTTAATAACTCTCCTCTCCTATTTTTAACTGACAAATCCATTTGTTCTCTAGGCTTCCTTAACTTGTTAATCTCACTCCAAAACTTTTTCTTATTATCAACAAAATTTGTTGATAACATCTCACCCACTCTCTCATTTGCTCTCTTTTTACATTGCTTCACCACTCTCTTAACCTCTCTCTTTTTCTCCATATCTATCACAGATGAACTGTGATAGATAAATAAGCCGTAAAGTTGGTGATAACGAAATATTCAAGGAGTATTTTGTCCTGTCTCCAGACAAACTCTCGTCGACCCCTGCCGCATATATAATGACATTTTATTCATTCTAGAGTATATATCAGGTTTCTATGTTATTAATATTGTTTATTATGTCATATTAGATGAACTGTAATAGATAAATAAGCCATATAGATGATATTAGCAAAATTATTCAAGAAGTATTTTGTCCGGTCTCCAGACAAACTCTCGTCCACCTTCGACACCGCCCATACCACTACATGAATTACATATTTTATTCATTTTAGAGCATATATATCAGGTCTCTATGTTATTTATATTGTTTATTGTGTCATATTAGATGAAGTGAGATAGATAAATAAGCTGTAGATATTAGTGAAATTATTGAAGCACAGAATTCCACTGGAACGGATTAATTGCATTTCAGTTAATTTAAATGAGGAAAATTGACTCTCCAAACGAGCAAATCCAGTTGCGAGCAAGGTCATGGAACAGATTAAACTCGCAAGTAGAGGTTCCACTGTACTTTATTCATACAAAAAATCTGTGTGTTACTGGTTAGTACTGGTGTTAAGTAGCCCGTAAGAAATTCTTCCCAGTATGCCTGAAATGTTTTGCATACAAGGAGCTTTCCTTGGAACAAGCAATTATTGTATTGATACACCTATGCATTTTGCTGGAATATTCACATATGCTTTGATGAAATGAAAGTTTGAGTTTGAATAGTAACCGGAAATGTAACAATAAGTAGATTTCATGAACAGAGACATTTTGAATACTGTATACCAAGGAATTCTTTGACAAATAACATTGGTCTGCATGACTGTTTTATTGACTCTATGGTATCTTTTTCGATATATATATGGAAAATAGTGGTTCACTGTGTTTTTTATTCATCTCTATCACATCAGGTTGTCAAGTTATACAGAAATGTTACTTTACTCTTTTTGTATAACATAAGTAAATGACAAGGTGGTATATTACCAATTAAAATGTTTTCTGTGTCTTTGGGATAGTAGGACAGACAGCCAGCACTATGAACAAAAAGGCTGGCCACCAAGAACCAACTTCTTACCCAGAAATCACAACGAGAAAACTGTGCCACTAGTTGACCCCAAGAAAATTCTGCTGCCACCACTCTACATCAAATTAGGGCTTATGATAAATTTTGTGAAGGCCTTGAACATGAATGGAACTGCTTTCAAGTACCTGGAGTCAAAGTTTCCTCATATAAGTGAAGGCAAGCTAAAGGCAGGAATCTTCGTTGGCCCTCAGATTCAGGAATTGATGAAGGACTAACATTCTGATGAAGCATTAGTAGGGGTTGAGGTGAATGCCTGGTTTTCATTCAAGCAGACTGTCCACAACTTCCTGGGAAACAGGCACTCCCCCAAATATGAAAAAATGATCTAAGACCTGATATCAGGTTTCCAACAACTTGGGTCTAGAATGATTGTGAAGATGCACTTTTTGCACTCACATATTGACTATTTTCCCAACAATTGAGGGGACTACAGTGAGGAATAAGGAGAGCAGTTCCAGCAGGATATCTGCACCATGGAAACTATACCAGGGCAAATGTAATGTCAGCATGATGGCGGATTACTGCTGGTCACTGAAACGTAATAGTCTCAATGCACAGCACAAATGAAAATCAAAGTGGTCCTCCTTCCTTTGATTTAATATGTAGTCTAACCATTAGGAGCATATTTTTTTAATAAAATCATTTGATTTGATTCATGTTGATTTGGAATTCATATGTTGTTAAAACTAAGAGAATGAGCTTTTCCATGATTACTTGCCTAATTTTAATAAATTAACAATTAAAAATTCACATTTTTCATCATTAATTTTTATTTTATTCAAAATTCTCACATGATAGAGCAAAATGGTTTAGATATTTACAATCAACAGCCCAAGAATATGTAAGATAGCAACCATGAATAAAAATAAAAAATAAAAACATTTCAAATGTAGACCAGTGAATCATTCTCAATAGTATGTAGTAATTGGGTTAATTAAACAAGTGGAGCCAAAGACTGGATAAACATCAAAATGATTTGTGTATATCAGTAGTAGAATATACCAACAAGTATGTTAACAAGACACAATATGAAGTTCATGGCATTTTATTGAGAAGATGCTTCATCCACCAGGGATTTTATCAAGTGTCATGGAGAGAGAGGAAAAAAGATAGCATATATAAATTGCATATTGTGTCTTATTAACACATTTAATAGGTATTTTAATATACTGCAAAAGTGTGTGTCTACCTGTATACATAGCCTCAATAATCAAGTCCTCTAGTTCTCTGGTGGAGGTGAGACCCAACTGGTTGCCTAGAGTTACTAGCGGGATGCTTTTCTGTCCTGTTGCCATGGAAACAATTGTAAGGTGCCTCAGCTTGGTCAGCATTGTCGGAGTTAATTGTGGAAATTTGGACGATTCTTTTATGTAATCGCCATAAACTCCATATGCAAAAAGTTGCAGAAGCTCAAAATATGGTGCATGCTGAGGATTATTTTTGAGCTATGGAAGAGAAAAGAAAATATTTCAGAAACAACACACCATTAACAATGCAGTCAACAAGAAGAAAAAATTAAATAAAGCAAACCCTCTATTTGATAGACTAATTGTGGGGGTGGGTGGCCAGTAATGACACTTGTGGTGGGTACAAAGATTGTTTTCCTATGGTTACAACAATACAGTGGACCTCCGACATTCGATGGCATCAACATTCGATACATCCGACATTCGATGCATTTTAACGCAAAAATTTCGCCTCGACATTTGATGGAAAACCCGACATTCGATACGATTCGTACGAGACATGTCCACGTGTGGCCTGAACTGCCCCGTGTGTGCCAGTGTTTACAAGCCAGCCAGTGTGCACACATCTAAGGATACATTCGGTAATTTTCATATTATCACTGTTTTTGGTGCTTGTTTCTGCAAAATAAGTCACCATGGGCCCCAAGAAAGCTTCTAGTGCCATCCCTTCGAGAAAAAAGGCGCTAATGACTATTGAAATGAAGAAAGAGATAATTGCAAAGTACGAAAGTGGAGTGCGTGTGTCGGAGCTGGCCTGGTTGTATAGTAAACCCCAATCAACCATCTCTACTATAGTGAGCAGGAAAATGGCAATCAAGGAAGCTGTTGTTGCAAAAGGTGCAACTTTGTTTTTGAAACAGAGATCGCTAGTGTTAGATGATGTTGAGAGACTGTTATTGGTGTGGATAAATGAAAAACAGATAGCAGGAGATAGCATCTCTCAAGCGATTATTTGTGAAAAGGCTAGGCAGTTGCATGATGATTTGGTAAAGAAATTGCCTGCAACTAGTGGTGATGTGAGTGAATTTAAGGCCAGCAAAGGTTGGTTTGAGAGATTTAAGAATCGTAGTGGCATACACAGTGTGGTAAGGCATGGTGAGGCTGCCAGCTCGGACCACAAAGCGGCTGAAAAATACGTGCATGAATTCAAGGAGTACATAGAGGCTGAAGGATTGAAACCTGAACAAGTGTTTAATTGTGACAAAACAGGCCTGTTTTAGAAGAAATTGCCAAGCAGGACCTACATTACTCAGGAGGAAAAGGCACTCCCAGGACATAAGCCTATGAAAGACAGGCTTACTCTTCTGATGTGTGCCAATGCTACTGGTGATTGCAAAGTGAAGCCTTTATTGGTGTATCACTCAGAAACTCCCAGAGTGTTTGAGCAAAAGAATGTCCTCAAGGCTAATTTGTGTGTGCTGTGGAGGGCAAACAGTAAGGCATGGGTCACTAGGGACTTTTTCTATGACTGGTTACACCATGCATTTGCCCCCACTGTGAAAAATTACCTAATTGAAAAGAAATTAGACCTTAAGTGCCTCCTGGTATTAGACAATGCCCCTGGTCATCCTTCTGACTTGGCAGAGCGACTTTCTGGGGACATAAGCTTCATTAAGGTCAAGTTTTTGCCTCCTAATACCACTCCTCTCCTGCAGCCCATGGACCAGCAGGTCATTTCCAACTTCAAGAAACTACACAAAAGCTATGTTTCAAAAGTGCTTTGTAGTGACCACAGAAACTCAACTGACTCTAAAATAGTTTTGGAAGAATCACTTTAATATCCTCAACTGTATAAACCTTATAGGTAAGGCTTGGGAGGAAGTGACTAAGAGGACCCTGAACTCTGCTTGGAAAAAACTGTGGCCAGAATGTGTAGACAAAAGGGATTTTGAAGGGTTTGAGGCTAACCCTGAGAATCCTATGCCAGTTGAGGAATCCATTGTGGTATTGGGGAAGTCCTTGGGGTTGGAGGTTAGTGGGGAGGATGTGGAAGAGTTGGTGGAGCAGGACAATGACAAACTAACCACTGATGAGCTGCTAGATCATCTTCAACAGCAAGAGGCCACACCTGAGGAAACTGCTTCAGAGGAGGGGAGAGAGAAATTGAAGAAGTTGCCTACTTCAAAGATTAAGGAAATGTGTGCAAAGTGGCTTGAAGTGCAAACTTTTTTTGATGAAAATCACCCTGAAACAGCTACTGCAAGCCGTGCTGGTGACTATTACACTGACAATGTTGTGAACCGCTTTAGGAAAGTGATAAAGGAACGATAGGTACAGGCCTCTATGGACAGAAATGTTGTGTGACAGAAGTCCAGTGACTCTCAAGCTGGTCCTAATGGCATTAAAAGAAGAAGGGAAGTAACCCTGGAAAAAGACTTGATACCTCAAGTCCTAATGGAAGGGAATTCACCTTCTAAACACTAACACCATCCACACTCTCCCCTACTCCCATCCCATCAATCATCACCAGATCTTCATTAAAGGTAAGTGTCAATTATTCTAATGTTATTAATCTATTGTTATTGTAATTATTCTATTGCATTAAACTTAATATTTCATGTGGTAAAATTTTTTTTTTTCATACTTTTGGGTGTCTTGCACAGATTAATTTGATTTCCATTATTTCTTATGGGGAAAATTAATTCGACTTTCGATATTTTCGACATTCGATAGCTCTCAGGAATGGATTAGTATCAAATGTCGAGGGTCCACTGTACTAAATAATTCTGTGACCAAAGGACTTTGTCCATTATTCCAAAATCTATTGACCCAGCAGATTTTGTTTCATATTTCTGAAGTCCCTTAAATGAAGGGTTTACTTAAGTACATTTCCTATTACAGTACTGCATCACTGTTTGCTACACTTGAACAGATCACATCCTGTACTTGGTTACTATTTTACAAAATCAATCGATAGCCTTATGAGTTTTTGTGCTATTGCATATTTGAAAATCTTTGTTTGGTTAGACATTCATAATTTTCACATTTTCTTTATTGACACAAGATGCAAATTTCATAACTCTTGGTTCTTTTCTTTATCAAATCTTTCTCTCTTCACTCCATGTTGCCAATTACAATAAGTAGAATCTCAAGAATAATGACATGAAATTCAAGATAAGTAACTTTTCAAACAGATAATGCCTTGGATTTGGAGCAAAATGTTTACTATAAATATACATTATTCTACAGCTGTTCCAGTAGCATGATAGACATATTAAAATAGATTGAACTGCCTGACTATTCAGGTGCTGCACTTACTGATGAGTAAGAGAACATGGCCACCACGTGACAGTATCAAGTCCCAGGCACTGTGAATGCCATGACTTGGCAAAACAATTTTGACTGACTGTCCACTTACTGAGCTACAATACTGAAAACAAGGACTTAACCTTACTGTAACTGATTTTAGCATTGTGCCCTATGACGACTTAACTGTATTTACCTACTGGATAGTCGCCTTCTGGATGCTTCAACATATTTAATACATGTAGGAGGGGTGTTAATGTTGCAGTTTAAAAACTGTAGTGTAAAGCACCCTTCTGGCAAGACAGTGATGGAGTGAATGATGGTGAAAGTTTTTCTTTTTTGGGCCACCCTGCCTTGGTGGGAATAGGCCAGTGTGATAATAATAATAAAAAACAACCAAAGTGAGTGATCCATAAATTTACATCATATTCTTTGTCAAAATTATTTACTATAGTGCTCACTGGAATGGTCAATTACTTCAGAACCAGAATATTTTTTACATAAAAATTTTTGAAATACATGTATACTGATTTGAAGTTCTACTACAGGTGTTTTGATACCTTTTTAGCTAGCAACTGTATATAACTATACAGTATTAAATTATTCATTCCAAAAGGTTTTTAATGTTCATTCTAGCATCAAGATCAGCCCATTAGACCTCCAGAATAAAAATTTTAGTGTCAGCCTACACACTTATTCATTAAATATGAAAATTACAACTGACCTTTCACATATCTTCCATCCTACATACTGGGTACAATTTATGATTCAAATTTGAATTTCATACCCTTATACTGTACACAATTCATGACCCTTTCCCTCCTTGTAACATTACTGTACCTAGGTAACCACACGACAAGCATGATGATCCAAAAAGCTTTATACAAGATTGATAAAATTACATCATATCCAAACATAGATCTACGTTCACATGTGTAGTGCTCCAAAAGTAGATCTACGTTTCTTTTACATATTTTCAAAAAAAAAAAAAAAAAAAAAAAAAAAAAAAAAAAAAAAAAAAAAAAAAAAAAAAAAAAAAAAAAAAAAATCTAAGTTTTTTAACATACTTTCAAATGTTGAAAAAACGTAGATCTATGTTCGGACAGTTTAAGGGTTAAAAAAATGTTAACTCACACTTCAACATGTAATAATTCAATACTGTATTTTAACTGTTAAACCCCCGAAACTCTCTCCAGGTAAACTCCAGGTAAACAGTTTACAAATTCTGAACTAGAAATATCAGTTAATACAATGGTAAGTTAGTAAACAAATAATTTAAACAAATACAGTATTAGCCTTGATGCTACTTGACATTAATAAAAAGACTTCGCACACTTACATTTGTAATATTTGGCATATCCATGAGTTCCCCGAAGACATAAACCTCAGGTGCCTCCAGCACTTGCTTGACTAGTTGAACAGCAGCTGCTCCTTTTGCTTGTTTAGCCAATAAGATATATTGCTCAACTGGGTTGGTTTGATTTGGCTTCTCCCCCATGGTTTTATTGTTTAGACTAGGGGGGAAAATATTACTGAGTTAAGATTGCTAAATCTGTTAATGAAACCTTCACCTATGCAGCTTGGTCTCAGACCAGGCTTCCTCAATTGGAAAGGAAATATTATAAATATAAAAACTATAAGGAAACACACAAGAAAGTACAGATAAGTGTACAATGAATGTAAAGTTTATTTAGAATCTTAAATGTTTATATGCTCCATGGGGAAGTGGAAGAGAATTCTTCCTCCATAAGCCATGTGTGTCGTAAGAGGCGACTAAAATACCAGGAGCACGGGGCTAGTAACCCTTTCTCCTGTATATATTACTAAATTTAAAAGGTGAAACTCTCATTTTTCCCTTTGGGCCGCCCTGCCTCAGTGGTATACGGGTGGTTTGTTGGAGGGGGATGTTTATATGACAAAGAAATTACGTGTACAAAGAAATAATGTAAGCAACCTATGAGGCTGGAACTGAAATTAAATGGCCACTAGAGTTCCTTAACATAATGACTTATTTTTATACCTCAGCATATACATATGAAGCAATATGAGATAAAGTGACACATTGTCAACATCTGACCCAGTATTTACTAAAAGAGGAAGAAATTTTTAACATAAATTATCTAAACCCACTTGGAAAGAGTATTGAAAAGAGTAATCATGTTCTACTGCTGTTAAAAGAGAAAGAGGTAGGAACAGCTAAATTATAAGGAAAATATAATGACTCTAAAACAGGACTTTTTTTATAAATAATTTACACAAAGAGTTCCATATCATACATAAAATTGGGATTAAGCCTCTCACTGTCATGACCCTCAAAATTAAAAGCGCTGTCAGTGTCATGATTTAAAACAAAAATTCTTTTCTAAAAAAATAAAAAAGCCCATTTTTCTAATGGTAAAAAAAACAAAGAAAACAAAAATCTCATAAATACTTTCCAAAATATCAAAAATGTTGTTCACCCCATGAAAGCTATACAGAGGGCTGCTGCATGCTACATATTATAATATTTACATTTTAAATTTTTCTTGTGATTTCTGATATCTTTACTCTTGCATGTACACACTGTGGTCTTGAACACACATTCTGCACAATGTTTTCATGTCAATGCCTTTAACACAGCGAAACAGTTACAAGACAATTTCACAAAAAAAGGTAAACCACACACATCCATTTGCTTCACAATCTTACTGTTCTAACATATGTACACACACATACCAGCACTGGTCATGTTCCTAGAACTGTTGCACATTTTCCTCACCACATAAGAGGAAATCTCTAGCAACTTTCGGGTATTTTCCAATGTTTTCCCTCCTGTGTACACAATCAGATCTAATACTAAGCCACTTTCAGTGTCAAACAAAATAAACAGTTTGATACCAGAGCATCTTCTCTTTCTTTGTATATATTACTTAAATGACAGTCTGCCTTTGAACAGGACTGGAGACTTGTCACTGACAAGTTTCCAAAAAGGATAAAAAGAACTCAATGAATTAATTTTCCAATACATAAAAACATCCCTAATCTCATACAATGTTGTTCCTATTGGGCCTAGCCTTGCCTGATTAGCATAGCATATGCAGCAACAGGATAAATCTGTTGACTGGGAAGAGATCACTGAATGCTGGGCTACTGTACATATAACGAGGTTAATAGACCAGTATGATGCAATATTATGCTTGTACACATGTGGCATAAGCATAATTGTGGCAAAGAAGAGATACATCTCTGCCACAGTGGTTTCTTTCTATTTGTGAAGTTGTGACCATGCTGAAACAAATGTTTGCCACTGTATAATGGTAGTATCTGTTGGTTTGTGTCACTATTATTTTCAGTTGGTGCTGTATGTGTTGGCAGCATTACCTGAATCCTTCTGCCCATGGAATCATCGCCATCATCACTATCACTCGCTGGAATTGGGTCCAGTGATCTACTTCCATGGGGACAGCTCTAGACACACCACCAGACTATGCATTGCCATATAAGCTGATACTTCACAGGCAAATAATTACCATCACTATCACTTATCTGATAATCAGTTGCTAGGAAATCAAGGGCAACAACAGAAGTATCATTTCTAATCACAACCATGCCCAAACAATGGGAGAATATTAGATTCCATTTAAGGCATAGTCTTTGTATGGTCATGCTTGATGCCTGACATAGATGTCTGGGAGTCATTAAGGTTTTCAGCATTATTCCTGGTATTTTTCCCCTCGACAATTTCTGTCACTGTCTTCAAATCCATAAAATTCATTGTCAGGTTCCATATTTTCATTATTGGATCTATCACTGTGGAATAAAAGACATAAAATGTGCCTAGGAATAAGAGTATTGTGTTTGTGTAGCAGTGAGAATTATGGTGAACCAAGATGGCACTGCCATGATGCATTGCAGTGGTCAGACTTTTCTGTATACTGCATACACACTGACTACATTATGATCATTCTCTCATGCCTAGAACTATCAGGCCTCTCATGCCAAATCTGAGGGTGCTAGAATTTATGTGTATATCTAATTAAGGGACATTGGCTTCAGTAACATAAATTTATGTGGGGAGAGTGAAAGAGTTAAACAGTTTATTCCAAAAAGGGGTAATAAAAAATTTAAAAACTGATTAAATGAAGTGTGAGAGTTATGCAAAATAAAGAAAGAACTTACAACCAATGTCAGAAGCAGGTCATCCAGAGACACAAGTATATCAGATATATAAACTAGCCAGATATGAATACACAAAAAGAAAAGAAAAGGGAACATTGAAAAAGAAACAGAAAAGCAAGATGGAACCAGATTTTTTTTTATTTAAGTCTAAAGAAGTAAACTAAATTTAAAGATAAAA